CTTCCTTTATGCAGGAGAAATAGGAACATGGTGGCCAATCTCCTCACTAGGGAGGTAAAGTCAACTGAAGCTCATGCTGTGGTATTGGTCTGGCCAAGTTGAAGGTTTTTCTGGTCCCGGATCCAAGAAGCCCCACCAGTCATGGCCACTGGCAAAGGTTTCGGAGGGGCTTCGTAGAAATGAGGGCTTCACTGGTGTCTGGTCTGTTCCCTTTCAGGCAAATGAAGCTGATGCTGTGACACTGGATGCAGGTTTGGTGTATGAGGCTGGCCTGGCTCCCTACAACCTGAAGCCAGTAGTGGCAGAGTTCTATGCAAAAGAAAGTAAGTTCTCCTCCCTGGGGGCCCAGGAGAGAGTTTGTGGCCCTTCTCTCCTGGTAGATGCTGAATCTTGTCTTCTTTAGGCAGGTAATGAGCATTCTCCATTGGAATGTAAGTGGGGAATGAAGGGCCCTATCGGCCCCCACAGGCACAACTGAAGGACTGGTGCTCCTGACACTGACATTCTGGGCCAGGAAATGTGCTCTCTGGAGAAACAGAGTGGGCTGTGTGCAGGCTGACCCAAACCATTAGAGTTTAGGACTGTACAGAGAAGTCTTCCAAGAACCACAGGTCCACAGACAGAGGAGAGACCACACTGGAGCATATATTCAGAACCCTGGCAGCCTTGTATCTCTTCTGAGAGCAACCTGACTATCCCTGGCCTGTGTCGGGGAACAGGAAATACTTGGAGTCAGGAACGTGGCCTTTTTGCCATAATTCCAGTCTCCTGGTGGGCTTTGGTGGATTGGTATAGGCAGACACCCTGCAGGGTCAGGGTGGGAAAAAGCATTTGGGGTACATGTGCTGCTGGCCTTCTTGCCCCTGTAGGGCTGCCTGGAGGATTATTACAAATGTCCCCTCTGTGATCTTTCTTTCCCTGCATGCCTGGAAAAGTTATTCTGATCCCAACCCAACATACACGTGTTTTTTGGGTTCCCCTTCCCTGGTCAGGAGCCCATTAGTGCCGGGCACGGTTTCCCTGTGGCCCAGGTTGAGGGGCTTCTTTCATGTTGTCTCTTTGCAGATCCACAAACCCGCTATTATGCTGTGGCCGTGGTGAAGAAGGGCAGCGGCTTCCAGCTGAACCAGCTTCAAGGCAAGAAGTCCTGCCACACAGGCCTGGGCAGGTCCGCTGGGTGGAACATCCCCATGGGCGTACTTTATTGGGACTTGCCTGAGCCACAGGAAAATCTTCAGAAAGGTAAGCAGGCAAGAAGTTCATGGAGATGTCCCTTCTTTACATGCCGACAGAGGCCACACTGGGGTCACACAGACATGCCATGTGTGTTGCCCCTTGGGTGGAGGTGGGAGGTTAACCAGCTTTAGACTGGTTGGGTCTGCTGCACCAGCAGCCCTTGGGAGGTGTCAGCTGAGTCTACTCTTTGAGCTCCCAACACCCCAGCGGTGGCTGTCCTGAGGAGTAAGGGGAAGGGCATCTGGCCTGACAGAGGGCTCTGGGCAGGGCCAAGATTGCTGGGCCCTATTGTCCACTTCCTGGGTGCTTTCCTCTCTGTGGCTGATGTGTTTCCCATTCTGCTGGAGCTTCCTCTGGTTGCCGTCCGCTGGCTATGAGCTTGGCCTGTACCTGTCCAGGCAGGTGTCCCATTTCCTAGGCATGGCTTGCAAAGGAGACCTGTCTCTGAGCTGTTCCAGTGTGACAAGGCACGGAGGGGAGCTGACAGCAACCTGAGACAGGTTTTTCTTGGTGGCAGGCATAGGCCTGGTTTTGGAGAGGGGGTGGGAAAACGGGTTAATTGGTTTATTTTTAGAAACCCTTGATCTTGAAGAGTGCACACACATAAGGCCAAGCTGGGACCGGTACGCTGGTTTTGTTCTGGTCACTCTCTGTTCGCTCGTGAGCTTGGACTGGGAGCCGTAATGGCCTCTGGCCAGGCTGGCTCATGCACCGTGTGTCTCTTTGTTGAGCAGCAGCGTCCAACTTCTTCGCGGGCAGCTGTGTTCCCTGTGCGGATCGGACAGCCTTCCCCAAACTGTGTCAACTGTGTGCGGGGAAAGGGACAGACAAGTGTGCCTGCTCCAACCACGAACCGTACTTTGGCTACTCGGGTGCCTTCAAGTGAGTGAGACTGGCCATTGCTCAATAGCAGCCAAAGTAGTCAATGTCCTCGGGCTGAGAAATCCTCCCTGGCCACAGCACAGCCCAGCCTGCAACAGGGGTATTCAGGAGGCCTAATCCCCTCACAGTGACTCAATGATCCAGCTGGGACTCCCCGGCTAGACTAGGCCAGTGCCTGCTTCTTTCATGTAACACTGATAAGGAGACCCCTCTCCTGGGGACCTTTCTGTCTCCCTAGAGTCCTTGAACCTGGCAGTGTGCTTTTCACTGTACTGGGCCAAGTCTGAGGGGACAGGCACGTCCCCAGTGTTTGGGCCATTCTTCAGTGACTGACCCTCCGTTCTCTATTGCAGCAGTGTCATCCACTCAAAGCAAGTGGCCTTTCTCCTGCCTCCCCTCATGGCCTTTGTGCCGATATCTCACATGGCTCATGTCTTGCTGCTTCTTTTCCCTTGCTTATAACTTAAAGTTTTATACCCAGCTATGGGCACGTTTCCTCTCTCAAGAGATACTATGCCTTTATTTTCCATTCCAGAAGCTTGAAAACTCTTCTCTGTCTGTACGAAAATGTCTGTAATGCCTTTTGGCTGCTTTGGGGCACATGGTGAGGGACCTCTAGCTCCTGTGAGCTCATCTCCATCACATCTGTGGTACCCTGGGTAACAACACCCCATCGCTGTCTTCATGAAAATGCTGGACAGTGTGATCAGACCCTCAAGCCTGAGGAGAAGGACCTGTTCTGCAGGAACCCTCCCATTGTATTTTTTCTCACAGGTGTCTGCAGGATGATGTTGGGGATGTGGCCTTCGTCAAGCACTTGACGGTATTGGGTAAGTGACAGAAGATCCCCTCCAAGCTGTGGGTCTTTTCTTTTCCTGCCTCCTTTTTCATGCTCAGTAGTCAGACATGAGCAGTGTTTCCTCCTTTAACATTGCCTGGATTCCTACCTATGCAGAGGTGTGTGCCTGTGGAGTCCCCACCTGGACTCCTGGGCCTCTTTCCATCATTTAAAATCCTGGATACAGGGACCCTTCCTTCTGGTCAGTGTTGTCATAGCAAGGGATTGGGGGAAGCTTTGGCCAACCTTGGCCTGTAGTCAGCCTGCTGACATGAGACCAATTGTGGGGTGTTGGGTAGTCACCCCTGCACTGAATATCGGAAGCTTCCTTGCCTGTTAACTTGGCTGTGGGATCTTGAGAAAGACAGTTTCCTTATGTTCTCAGTTCACTCCAGGCTTCTCAGCTCTCACATTTTAGGATGCAATGGGATTGCAAGGGATAGGGAGGGGACCAAAGCTGATGGCTCTGCCTGCAGTAGGTTCATCTGGGATTTCTTTCCTCAGATGACCTGACACAGAAGGCTGAGAGGGACCAGTATGAGCTGCTCTGCCAGGACAACACCCGAAAGCCAGTGGACAGATATGAGGACTGCAACCTGGCCCAGGTTCCTTCTCATGCTGTTGTGGCCCGAAGTGTGGGTGGCAAAGAGGATTTGATCTGGGAGCTTCTCAACCAGGCCCAGGTACCAAACCACTGTCCTCCTTTCCTGCTTAGGAGTCCTTGCTTACATTTGGGGCATTTTCCTTCATTCCCTTATTGCCACTGTAGAACCTTCTGTTTTCAGGACATAGTGGGAACCATGCCACATATGATCCACTTGTCTAAAAGCACCCAGCAGAGACTTTTCTCAGAGTAACAGAGTCTAGTCCTGCATTATCATCTGCCAGTTCCCTACATTTTGGATTAGTGACATGAAGATGCTCCTTAGTGCTCTATTCCATTTCTTTCCATCTAAATCAGGCCTCCTAGGACAAGGGCAAACATTCCCTCCCCTATGAGGTCATCCGTGACCTCCCCAGAAGGCAAGTGTCTTTCTCCTGGTGTCCCTCAACCTGACTGCAAGAGTTGCAAGCACAACCAGCTTTACTTCCATAGAGCAGCAGAATGCCACAATGAGCCAACTATCTGTCATCCAGCTCTCCCATCCATCCATCAAGAGTTTAAGTGACAACCCCACAGTGGCAGCCTCTAACAGAGGTGCTTTCCTTGCACTCATTGAGCCATCAACCCAGCTAGGGAGATAGGCATAGAAACATATCCAGAGAAATAGGGTGTGGCACATCCCCAGGGGGCTGTAACTGGAAAAGGTGATGGACAGGAAAGAGCAGACCTGACATCTTGAAAATTTCATGGTTTAATTTAGTTTTCTGGGTTTTTTGTTTTTCTTCAGTCCCATTTCACAGCCTACCTTGTCACTATAGTCATTCACTATTGTTTTTCTATAAACAGGAACATTATGGCAAAGATAAATCTGAAGGCTTCCAGCTCTTCAGCTCCCCTCATGGCAAGGACCTGCTGTTTAAGGACTCTGCCCAGGGGTTTTTAAAGATTCCCCCTAAGATGGACTCCTGGATGTACCTTGGATTTCAGTATGTCACTGCTCTTAGGAATCTTAGAGAAGAGACACGTAAGTACTCGGGAAGGATATTGTGATCTTGAGAGCTTGGAAACCTGGTGTAGGTGGGGACCAGTGATAGAGTCTGTCCAGATACCGAATACCTACCCTGATGTTCCTTTATGTGTCCTACCTGTGCTCCTCTATGTTGGATGGATGCTAAATGGCATTCATCATCATGAGATGGGCCTGGACATCACCAAAGGGCATTAAAGGAAATTCATGTTTAAAATGACGTGGATTGATATCAGTATTATTTCCCTTGTGTAACTCAGGGCTGCCCTACCTGCTTTGTGAAGCCAGTCAGCCTGGCACAAAGTAAGTCAAAGAATGAAATTGTTGCAAACTTGCATCTGTAGCCAGTATTGTGGTCAACATTTGGCACAGTGAAGGTGGAGCTCTAGACAGGTCCATCTTGCTCCTGAGTTTCCTTGGGTCCCTGGAGGTTTGTTTGATTATTCATTCATCCAACAAACATTTATTATCTGGCCATGAACCGTGCTAGGCGCTGGGTATACAATGGTGAGACAAACATATATTAGATTCTGCTATCATGAAACTTTCTCACCAGTGAAGAAGACCAGTGTTCAATGAATAGTCATTCTACTAAATGATCAATTAAAAAGGAGAGATTTACTCAGAAAAAGGAAAAAAAAAAAAAAAAAAAGAACGAAATACTATGGTCCTATGAGACCATGATAATAAAGGAAAACAGGTCTTGGCATTGAGGTAAACCTTCCCTGAGGAAGTGATTTGAGCTGAGTTTGAAAGTGAAGCACATTCATTGTGCTGACCATGAGCCAGGCCCTGTCCCGAACAATGAGAGTGCTGTGGACAAAAAGACGGGCATGGCCCTTGCCCTGGCCAAGCTTATGTTCTCCAACAGGGAACAGACAATAAACATGAACAAATAAATAAGAATAGCTCAAGTAGTTAAGTGCTATTTCAAAAAGAAATTAAAAAAAGAAAAAAAAAGAAGAGGAAAAAACCTAGCCTGAAGTGATAGAGTATCCAGGGGTGGTGAATGGTTGTTTTTTCAGCAGAAACACTTTTAAGCTAAATCTAAATGATAAGAAGTCATCTGAGAGATTGTTATTGCCTTTGCTAAGACGATTAATACCTTGAATGGGATCTGTTTGCGTATTGCTAGCAAATTCCAGCATTTTCATGAAGACAGTAGAATCACTAGCAGACAACTTCTGGTGCCTCTTCTGAACCCCTGGTTCCCTTTCTTATGCCCTAGACCGAGATACCGCAAAGAATGTATGCAAGAAGGTGAAGTGGTGTGCAATAGGCCACATGGAGAGGGTCAAGTGTGATGAGTGGAGCATAAACAGTGACGGGAGTATAGAGTGTGAAACAGCAGAGACCACCGAGGACTGCATTGCCAAGATCATGGTACGTCACTCCTGCCTCCATAGGGCAGTGGCCCCGCCACTACTGCCTGCCTGTCCCTAAGACTTAGTATTCCTGGGAATGATATGAAAACCCAGGTTCATAGGAACCTTGCCCTCACTGTGGGAGCCCAGGCCCACAGGAGATTCAGTACTTTTGAGCGTGTGGATCTGATGGGCTCTGTAGGGCTCCATTTCCTCCTGGTGTCAAAACACGGTAGAGGACAATCTGAGCAGTGTCTGCTTAGGAAAGCTGGACCATGGTGTGGGAGTGTCTGAGACCCACGGTGCACCATGATGAGTGTGATAGGGCCATGCTGATTGTGCAAGCAGGTAGAAGTTTAGTTTTCTTCATCTAAAGAGTATTCCATGTTTGCTTTTAGTTTTTTGAAAATCCTGAACAATGTAAAGAAACAAAGAAGTACTTGAAATCTTCAAATTCAGAGAAAATTCTGTTATTTACCATATCATATACATAGCTCACTATCCTCCTCTTTTAATCTGATATCTAATGAAATTTTTCCTATGTTAAAATAATTTTTAGAAAACATGATCTTTTAAAGTTGTATCTATTCCATAGTGTGTGTGTGAGGCAACTTATTTAACCATTTATCCATATTTTCTATAACATCATCTAGTCTGTCTCTATCTTTTTGCTATTATGAATACTTTTTGAATATTTTTTCCTACTTATATATTTTGCCCAATGAGTTAGTCGCCCACATATCTGATTATCTCTTTAGGGGGTACTTCCAGAAATATATTGCTAGACCCAATGGAAACATTGGCATCTTTCTGAATTTAAGCATTTTTGTAATTAAGGGCTTAATAAATCTGAGGATTAGATCATTTGAGTGTATTATTTGTTTATTGAACACCTCATCTGCACGACACTAAAATACCACTCAGCCATTGTGGCCAAGATTAAGGCCTGGATCCCCCATCAGGATGCACTCTATCCCACAGGCACAGCCTTGAGTCCCTGACTTACTCATTAATCTTACAAATGAGAATTCTTGGTGTAAGAAAGGTATTGTGAGAATGTCTCCAGAACAATGTGTCCTATCAGAGGACAGGTGGATCGAATATGGGTCTTAGCTCCTGAAGAAACTAAACAAGGCACCCAGAGTTGGTCATAAGTTCATGATGGTTAGGGTGAAAATGAGGACACATTTTATTTTCTTGCTGAATGTGCCTTTTGGGGGTCCAGAGCTAGCACCAGCTGTCTCCCTGGTCCTTCATGACCTGTGCTGGGAAGGCTGCTTCAAGGAAACATCTAGAAGGGCCAATGGGAAGGAAATGGCCTCTTTTCATCTGCTGTGATGTGCTATATTTTTACAGAAAGGAGAAGCTGATGCCATGAGCTTGGATGGAGGCTTCATCTACATAGCGGGAAAGTGTGGTCTGGTTCCAGTCTTAGCAGAGAACTACAGTAAGTGGAGGGGGCACCTCTCAGTGTTTTACTTCCTCTGGGCCATGGAGAGAGGAGATGGGAAAATCATAGCCTGACTAATATCACATCGGCCATAAAGCTCTAGCTTACTGAGAATCTACTTCCCAGGCTCTGGGCTGCCTCATCTGTAACCCCCACAGTCATCTTGAAGGATAGATCTTCTCTTATACCTTCCGCCAGGGGAAATGGAGGCTTTGCACTTGGAAGTTCCAGCTAACAGTGACCCCAAATGCAGAGGACATTTAGGATTCTCACCTGGGATTCCTGGCAGGTCTTTCTGCTTCCCAAACACACATCTCCTATTGCCCTAGTGCAGTGATTCAAGTACAGTTGGCAGGGACCACTGTGGCCACAGGACAGACAGAGCAGGAAACCTGAAATTCACAATTTTGGGCTAAATTCCAGAGGCCGGTGAGTTAAAGTGAAATTGCATAATCAAGAGGGCCTGGACTTTTTGGAAGTTGGTGATATGTAGTTTTCCTGGCGCTTTTTATTCTGATCTGCAACATGGGAAAGGCATAATTTCCAATCTATAAATGAGTACTTAATGACTTCTTCATTTTCTCTTCTCCAGAAACTAACAACTCTGATTGTAAAAACACACCAGAAAAAGGTGAGTTGGGATTGGTAACCTCATGAGTTTAAGATATATTCTCATTGCTTTTAAATTCAAACCAAAAATAGATAAGGCAATGGAAGAGACCAAGTTTTAGAATGCAAAAGAGTCATGGAAAGATAGTAATTGGTAATGATAGTTATCCTATTATACTTGCTATGACTTACACAAAGGATTTCTCATTTAATCTTATAAGGTAGGTCTTGTCATCCTCTAAGGATGCATAAGAGGACCAATGGCTGAGAGAGTTTACAAATTGTCTAGGCTCCTATATTCAGCAGGTATTTCCACACCCTCCTGACTGCCTTGCATTACATGAGGCCTGCACAATTTTAGATGAGAGTTAGCACCAACCAAGGAGCCTCGTGTATTTGTGCCCGGCAGGGCTAAGGAAAAAGGCTCACACAGACAGATGTCTAGGAGCATGAAATTACACAGCCTACCAGCCAGGTCTGGGTTCAGGAATCCAGGCAAACCTGGCTCTTGCTCAGAGTATTGGTTGGGGTGGATCCGGGAGCAAGTCAGAAAGTCTTACACCATGGTGAACACTGGGCCCCAGAGTCCATATGCTTAGGCCTCTCCAGGTCATTTTCTAGCCACTAGTGTGGCAAATCTGTCCTTGTGACTTCCTTTGATTACAGCCTTCCAGCCTTTCACTCTGGGAGCCAAGCTCAGTAACAGAGTATAGCAAGGCCTATTCCTATTCTATGGATAATATGACTTCTCTGTTTTCTGTTATACACAGTTTACTGAGTTAATTAAATTAGAAAGTTGAAAGCATGGATTTGATATTCCATTCCCAATTTTAAGGATCAATAACTATTTGCTGCTGAAGATGGCAGCTGACTTGACAGTTTCTACTTAGCATACTTCTTCGCATAAGGAGAATACAGGTGCTATTCTCCTTATCACAAAATATCTGGCCAGAATATTCACTGCAGTTATCAGTCATTTAGTACTCTTTCCTAATAATTGTTAATGTATAAAACGTTGGAGTTACATGTACTCCTCAGTATCCATTCCTCTGAGTGGAGGGTGAATTGGTGGTTTATAACTTCAGCGGAGAGTGAGTTGCTGGTTTATAACTTCAGTAGCTTTGTGCATTAGGGAAGGGTCATACACCAGCCATTGCTCTGATAATAATGTATTCTTACTATTTGGTTTCAGTTTACATTAATCTCCACCTGACAGAGTGACTTATACTTCACCTCACTCAGTCATTGGGAAGGGCCCTTTGAAAGACAGAATCATTCAGAATAATTTTGCTTCCATAGGGAAATGGCAGGCTTTGATTGCAGACAGACACTCTGCATGGCCTAGACGTGTTTATACATCCTTTTCTGGTATCTTCCTTGTAGGGTATTTCGCTGTGGCTGTGGTTAAGTCATCATCATCAGATGACCTCACCTGGAACACTCTGGAAGGCAAGAAGTCCTGTCACACCGCGGTAGATAGAACCGCGGGTTGGAATATCCCCATGGGCTTGCTCTATAGCAAGATCAACCACTGTGAATTCGGTGAGTGAATCTGGGAGGGCGTTGTGGTCAAGGCTGGCTGAGAAGAGAGTGGTCTGGTACAAAATGCTGTGTGGCCCTCATTCTACAGTAGTTAAAATTTGGTTAAAGCGAACTTCAAGGAAATAACTAAAAGAAATGGTAGGATTGGGGAGCTGAATCAGAATGGTTCCTTTCGGTTACACACAATGGCTTACTTTTCTCTCTCATGAAAAAGATGAGAGGTGAGCAGTCCATGCTGATATGGTCATTTGAAACCCAAGGTCCTTCTCTGTTTATGCTCTACTATTCTGAGCATGAGGCCTCCATCTTCAAGGTCACCAATGGTTGCTATAACATCCATAATTCTGGAAGCCTCAAGGAGCAAGGAGGAAGGGCCATTTAAAATGTATGCCACCTGCTGTTAACTTATTAAAGAAGCCATCCAGAAAATCTAACCCAATTACTTCATGTAACTTCTCATTGCTTGGAACTTAGGCACATAGTCACACTTAGCTGTAAAAGAGGCTGAAAAATGTCATCTTTTATTTGGGCATGTTTCTGCCCAAATAAAACTAGACCTTTGTTTAGGAAATTAAAAGCAGAACTCCCATATGATCCAGCAATTCCACTTCTGGGTATTTATCCAAAGAAAACAAAAACACTAACTCAAAAAGATATATGCACCCCTATATTCATTTTAGCATTATTTACAATAGCTAAGACATGGAAACAACCTAAGTATCCACCGATAGATGAATGAATAAAAATGTGATTATATATATACACATATGCACACACACAATGAAATATTATTCAGCCATCAAAAAAGAAGGAAATCTTGCCATTTACAACAACATGGATGGACCTGGAGGGCATTATGCTAAGTGAAATAAGGCAGACACAGGAAAGCTGGAGGGCATTATGCTAAGTGAAATAAGTCAGACACAGGAAAGCAAATACTGTATAATCCCACTTATATGTGGAATCATAGATACAGAGAACATGTTGCAAATACTGTATAATCTCACTTATATGTGGAATCTTGGGCAAAAAAAAGAAAAACGAGCTCATAGATACAGAGAACATGTTAGTGGTTGCCAGAAGTCAGGGGTGGAGTTGGACAACATGGGTGAAGGGGATCAAAAGGTACAAACTTCCAGCCATAAAATAAATCCTGGGGATGTAATGTTCAGCATGGTGACTATAGTTAATAATGTTGTGTTGCATATTTGAAAGTTGCTAAGAGATCTGAAAATTCTCAGCACAAGAAAATCATTTTTCTAACTATGTATGGTGACAGATGTTAACTAGACTTATTTTGGTGATCATTTCACAATATATTCACAATCATGTTGTACACCTGAAACTAATATAATGTGAAATGTCAATGATATATCAATAAAAATAATTAACGGAGAAAAAATTTTAAAAACTAGATCTTTGTTACTAAGGAACAAGGGGAAATGGCTATTGAGTTAACAGCTACAATTCCTGCCATAGGGCTTCTAGGCAATGTGAGTGTGCAGGGTCTCCAGGTCTCTTTAAGGTCTTGGCAGTCTCACTGAGTGACTGCCCAGTTCCTAGGCCCTTTCTAAGTGGTAGAAGTCAGTATATCCCGTCCTCTGAATAGCTTTAGGTATGAGCTTAGTTATGCGCCCTGAAAACCTATGTGTAAGTTTATGTGTAAACCTATGTCTAAGGACAAATGTTTTCTAATGGTTCTTATTTACATTAACTTCCTAAGTACGTCCTCCCTGCCACATCCAAATGTATGCAACTGATTTAAAAGGAGAGGCCTCCAAAAACAGTTATGAACCAGACGAGTCCTATGTGTGGGAATTGGAGACAAGATCATGTTTCTTCACCGGGGTGTTCAATAACACCAATGTGATAAGAATCAAAGAACGGCTGGGTTGACATTCAAAAGTTCTGGCTCCCAACTAGCAAGAGCACCACCTCTGCTCTCCCGAGTCTCCTGGCAGTTTACCAGCCATGGGAGAGCACCTGAGCTGTGAATAGAATTCCCCAGCCCTTTTTCTGAGCTTGGAGTTCTGAGTTCCATTAAAGCTTCTTCTAATAAATGGCAGGGGAAGGAAACATCTAATAGGTGGCACAAGCTCAGGGAGTAACCTTCAATTTTATCTCTTTCATGTCAAATTTTATGTCATTTCCATTGCTCCTTTCTAGATGATTGACGACACCATCAGGGTGCACATGGAATCCCCTCCACCTGAATTTTAATGGTCACTAACTTCTATTCCCAGTCTAAATTAAGTTTCCTTTTAAATCCTATAGTCTGGCAGGTCCTGGGTTGGTAGCAGGTCACAGGATGAATGAGTATGTTCTACCTATCTGGGGCCGTACACACTTGTTATGTGTTAAATGAAGCTAACTTCCTCTTGTCCTTCCACAGATAAAATTTTCAGTCAAGGCTGTGCCCCGGGGTATGATCGCAGTTCCAATCTCTGTGCTCTGTGTATTGGCTCAGCAAGTGGTCCAGGAAAGGAGTGTGAACCCAACAACAACGAGAGATATTATGGCTACACGGGGGCTCTCAGGTAAGTTTTATAACTCTGAAATGAATGTAATAATACTCCTAACTCTGACAGGATTCCTTTTTAGGAACTATGGTGAGATTCTTATGTCCCTCACCTGTTAGTCCTGCACGTGTCAGGGTGCTATATTTAGCAACCATATGTAGAACCCTGTGTGAAGGGGCATCCAGGTCCCTCCAGGACACTGTCTCTAGATCTGGTTGTCATACACAGCAAAGACTGGCAGTATGGTGCAAATCAGAAGTTCTCAACAGAGGGCAATTCCCCCCACCCCGTCTCCTACCCCAGGGCACATTTGGCAGTGTCTGGAGATGTTTTTGATTATCTCATGGGGTTGGGAGGTAGGAAGGTGCGACTGGCATCTAATTGGTAGAGGCTGCTAAACATCTGCATGCATAGGACAGCTCCCTACAACAAAGAGCTATCTGGCTCAGAATATCACTACTACAGCTGAATGTAGGAGTCGGATCTGGCTCATGCTCTTCTTTGCACTTCTGGGGAACCTACAGCCATCCTTACCTGGAACTATATAAAAGTAAAGCACATGATTTCTACATTCCCAACTACAATTCTCTCTCATGGAGTGTTTATCATTTTTGTAAAGACAACTGTGCACCTTATGACCTTATTACTTTTTACCTATCCTTTCTGATTCAGGGCTGTGTTTCTTAGTAGGTCATGAATTCATCAACTGCACAATGGTGGTAGCATTGTAGTTGAACTTTTCAGTAGTGAAGGAAAAAAACAAAGGTTATCCCAATTTGTCAGCTAGAACCACCTTGTGAGTTACAGTAAGTACAATTCACAGTCCACACATTTCCGATTTTTACAAAGTAGAGTGTGAGTAAGGAATTACCTTACTGAAAAACTACCCTCAAATAATTGTGCTGATGCTAGGAAAAGGATGTAGCTCTCCCTATTGGAGAAAATGTGCCAGAATTTAAGATTTTAGTGTGTGGAACTGAGATTGTGTAACTACAAAGCAAATCGGAGGTTTCGTTTTCTTTTTATTATTTACCTTAGTGATATGTAAGATTACTGGTAATAGTAGATTAATGCTAATCTATTATTATTAATAATAGGAGATTAGTGATAGAATGGGAGTCATGAATGCTGATATCAAATGGTCAGCTCTAGATCTATAAGGTGGCTCTCCTGAATAACAGATGCTTCCCGCTGACTTCCTCTTCTCTTTTTTTTTGTCTGGCCGTCTGTAGGTGCCTGGTCGAGAAAGGAGACGTGGCCTTTGTGAAAGACCAGACTGTCTTCCAGAACACTGGGGGTATGTGCACATGTTCCTCTGTCCCTGTAAATCGGGGTCACTGGGTTCACTTGTGTTCAGGATGCATTGATGGAAATGTTATGGACTCTGTCAAGTTCCAGAGCTCTGATTCTCAATCTTTTTGTTCAGTGAAGAGAGAAGTTTTCACCTGGGTAAGCAGAATGGTAAGGACTGTGAGGTTCCAGTGGCCATGAATTCTCTTCCAGAAACCCCACCACAGGGTGCTGCCTGTCCCCTGAATACTTCAGTGCACGTTTCTTAAGAACAACGACATTCTCTTCTCTACCTACATTATAATTACCAAGATCAGAATATTTATATTGGATTTAATACTCCTCACATCCATAGTCCATATTCAGATTTTCTGAATCATCCCCAAAAGGTCCTTTATAATTATTTCGTATATTTCCAGGTTCAACATATAGATTCCAATGTATTCCAAATATATTCCATGTCCACTGAAAAAAAAAACCTAGAGACAGTGGCACACCAGTAGGAATGAGCACCAAGATCTTGGCTTCTAGAACTATTTCCAATAAAAGGGACCAGGACCCTTTGGAAAAACAGCTGATTCTAGGGCTGGACAGGAAAAATATAAGGTGAGCTTGAAACATCATGCTGCAGTGGTCAGAGTTATGGGACATGTCAAAGCATGCAGGAGCCATTTTAAAGGACCTCCCACTGGCCATATCTGGGATATTTTCAACATTAAAAGAAATAATAACTCATTGAATAAAGTAAGAATACATGAATCCATCCTGATTGAACAAATGAAGTTAAAGGGAAAGATCTTCCTTATCACAGAATGCTAACTAATAAATGTAGAAATAATTATGAAGTTAAAAAGCTATCATTTGGCAACCAAAACAGTAATAATTGATTCAAGCAAGGACCATTATTGGGTACTAAAACTAGCAGGTGAATATTGGATGGCTATGACATTAAAACACAAAAGAAATTTTTTAAAAGATTGGTAAGAATGAGTACTCCTCTTGCCCACACTGCATCACTAACTGCTTACAGAACCCACTACAGTCCAGGCAGCTATTACTTCCCTTCCTTTCCTCATGTCCCTTCACCCAACCTCAAATCTTTCTAGCAATTCATCTGCAATGAACTAGCATGGCACCAACGCCTCCAAGAAGCCTTCTCTGATGATAAGCCCACATCCCGCAACAGAATCCTCTGTCCATATTGCTCACATTACTGAATTCATCACATTCTATAATAAACAGTGGCCACAGGACATCTTTGAGCTCTTTTCCCTCCTTTTATATCCCAGTGCCAACATGGTATGTGGCATACAGAAGTTGCTAAGTACTTACTTGAAGGAATAGTAGTTTGGCTAATATTTCTTCCCTCTTAACTAGTTTTGCTTTTTTCTTTAAGAGCTGTCCTTTTTCCTGCTACCAGAGAATTACCCTAAGACTGGTTCTTCGTCACTCCTTGATTTCTTTTTGTACTCTTCTGAGGAGGGCTCCCCTCTCTAGGCCTTAACTCTCTAAAAGCCTTACCTCCTGAAAGAAATTTAGACAAGAGGCCTAACTTCCCATCTAAAAGCCTCCCAGGATCTCTATTTGCCACATGGTCATTTTTATGTACACAGTACACTGGCACTGCAACCACAACCTGTATAAATCCAAACTCCTCATGGTCTCCCAAAATCCAGTCCTCTTTCCACAGCCTTTGTCCCTGAGGACTTTATTATATGCCCTGCCAGTCAAGCCTAGACTAGTCTCTCAGTCAGAATGTTTTTTGTTTCTTCAAAATATACCTTTATTAATTCTATGGTATGTTATAGAAGAATCAGGATACGAAAGCATGTAGATGGTATGATCTAATTATTTAGATGTGTCTGCATATTATATGCGTGTGTTAGAAAAAAGACTAGAAGAAACACACTAATGTTGTGGGATTACAAGTGTTTCAAATTTTTCTTCCTTAAACTGTGTAGCATTTTAAAAATGACTTTTGTACAAAAACAAGGATTATTTTTATTGGAAAGAAAAATTTTTATCATGTGCTTCTAGATGCCCACTGCTACTCTCCCAACCCGGACTGAATCCCCTTCCATCTCATTATTCTTAATTGTCCCATTCAGGCTGTGGCTCATACATTAACATTGACTTCCATTCACAAATCCTCATAGACCCACTTTTTCTTCCACCTAACTGTCACTCTGTCCCACACTCCAGGCCTTTAGTGCCTGGGTGTGCCTCACCTGTTTAGCCCCACTGCCCAATATTCTGTCCCAATGGGACCATTCTCCTCTCACCCATTAGAAAAACCAGGTTCATTCCTGTCCCTGAGTCGTATCAGTACTCTCCATCTTCCCTCAGACAGACATTCCTTTCTCCTCCTCTTACTCCTACACATGTTAAAAGACACACCTAAAACCTTGCCTTCTCCAGCTAGCTTCCCCTAATTAATATACTCAACACTGTGCTGGTCCTGAGTTCACACGCATTTAGAATATGTGCCACAAAATATAAAATGTTTTTAACTGTGCCCTGAATTTTTGCTTTTGGTATGTGTGCTATTTCTCCCCTCTAATCATTGTTTCTTGCAGAGGGCTGAGAACATTGTTATTGAATAAATGCTTAAATTACTAAGTAGAACAGATGGGTTTGGAGAGAACAATGATGAATTTCATTTGGAAGGTGTTGAGTTGGAGGGACTGGTAAGAAAGGAAAGGAGGAATATTAGAAGGTGAGCAAAGATGTGTGTAGTTACTAGTGAGAGAGAGGCAGGTAATTTGGAGTTTTCTATTAAAATTAAAAGTGTACATTTTGAGTGTAGGAAAAGAGGTACTTTATATACAAATAATATAAAATTTTACGATGCTACGTTCTTGTATCAGTTATTCAGTTAAATGAAGAAAATTAAATGAAAATTAAATTAAGAAAAAGATTGTAATGCTGTATTTTAGGAGAGAAATAAAAACTGGGAAAACATATTTGAGAACTTTTGTGAGGAAAGTGCTGAAACCCTGAGAATGGGCAAGATTTTTTTTTTCAGAGAGAATAAAGAGAAGATGAAACAAGAGGCTGAGAACCATATCCTTATGGACCTGTATGCACAGAGGAACGTGCACATTTTTGCATAGAACCAGTATGAGCACATCAGATTTCAAACACAGCTACAGCTTCCAGAAGGGCTTCTGGGGAAAGTTTCTACTTGCTGGTGCAAGAAGATATAGCACAGAGATTGTCAACCAGTTGAGGGTCATGTTCTTCCCACACTGGAGCAAGAGTTCCAAATGCTTTGGAATTTAGTAGAAATGAAGATCGTTTTGAAGAGCATCCACAGAATATAGTTCTTTCTTTGGGTGGAACAGGTGGGAAGGGGTGGTCACTAGGGATTCCTTTCCATATCACTGTAACCCCAGCGTGTGTACTTCTGCTGACCACTGGATCCAGGCCCTCCACATACCAGTGGATCAGTCACATCCCCCTAGTGAGGGTGCCTTGACCAAAGCCATCAGCTGTGGCTGACCCACTTTCTCTATCTCCAGGAAAAAACAGAGAAGATTGGGCTAAGACTCTACCGCAGGACTACTTTCAGCTGCTGTGCCTCGATGGCACCAGGAAGCCTGTGACTGAAGCAGCGACCTGCCACCTAGCCCGAGCTCCAAATCATGCTGTGGTCTCAAGAGAAGATAAGGCAGACTGCGTTAGGCAGATATTACTTGAACAGCAGGTACGGACCACCTAGGGCCTCCCACCCTTTCTTTCTGGGTGGTGTGGATTACTTCGGGGAAGTTCACAGCTAAGTGCAACCCACATTTTAGCATTCTCTTTCTGAAAACTAGATATGTGGAACTGGATCTCCTGGTCCTGGCTCTGTTTATATCTCCTGGTCACTGGAGATTAGTCCCTATCTGATCTGCATGTCCTCAGATCCAGGCATCTGCTTTCCTGCTTGCTCTTGACCTTGCTCTGTGGCACCCTCGTGTTATGAGCATTTGCATTTATTTAAATGAAGGAGACTGATTTTGTTTTCCAGCCCTCCTTGATACAGGTCATGAAATGCGGATCTGTGTTGCCCTTGCTTAGACAGACTGAGAACCACGCCAACATCCAGAAAAACCCAAGACCCCTGCCTTCAGGGAGCTTGTTCTCTGGGGAATACAACCAACCTAGACCTCCTTTCATGCGGAGAGGGGCTGTCTTCACATTTTAATACTAAAGGCTCCTCTACCAACAAACTCTATCCTATCATTCAGCGACAGCTTCCTGCCTATTGATTCACCATTAGTTTTCTTTTTAAAAATTAAAATAGCTTATCTATGTGAGTCCTCTGAAGGTAAATATTATTAATAATAATAATTATTCAGATTTAATGAAGATTTTCTAGGTGCTAGGTGGAATGCTAAACTTTTTGTAGTCACCATTTCACTTATAACCTTAGGAAACCTGGAGTAACTGAGCCTCTTGCCCAACACAGGATCAAAGATGTAGTCACACGTGAACTTTTAACAACTACCTGTACCCCTTCATCGCGTGGCTCATGTTTAATATCTTCTTCGAAAATAACACTTGGAAGGGACAAGTTTCTGTCCTCTCATTTCCTGGAAGCAGCACCCATAGCCATGGCCAACGAAGTGGGGAAGAGAGATCAGAGAAGTCAGGAGTGGGTGGGTAGGTGGGTGGGTGAGAGGGACTTTCCAGAGGAGGAAGGACCAGGAGGGACCCTACAGAGGACTTTGGAGCCTCACGAAAGCATGAAGCCAGGGCCAAAAATGGATGGACCACAGGTGAGGGCAGTGGAAAAATTCCTGAAGCATCCTCTGTAGCTTCCCTTTCTTCCCAAGTTGGTCTCCAGCTTTCAGCCTCCTCCATCCCACCCATGTGTTCCCGGCTGCTCAGTGCCACAGGTCCTCATGTACTTTCCATCCATTTGACAGCTCCAGTATGGAAAAAATGGAAGTACATGCTCCGGCAACTTTTGTTTGTTCCAATCTCAAACAAAGGACCTCCTGTTCAGGGACGATACATTATGTTTGGCTGAACTTCCGGACAAAGTAACGTATGAATCCTATTTAGGAGCGGAGTATGTCACAGCTGTGGGTAACCTGAGACAATGTTCAACTTCAAGTGAGTAGGAGGAACGGTGTGGGGAGGCTGCAAAGCCAACACGGGCAGGGTTCTGGGTGTCTGGTACAAAATGAGAAGTGGGCTGTAGCCCCAGGAGATGACCAGTGGACAAGATGGAATGATGAGGGAACAACGTAATCCCAGCATGTATAAAAGGCTACTTATGTGGGTAGATGGTTAGGAGGACACAGGCTCAGGGCACTGAAGTAGTGACCTGACTGCATATGCAGAATTTCATGTTATTACTAAAAAAAGGAAGAGGTTTATGGGCCCATGCCCATTGTTCTGTGCTAGACTTTTTTTTTTTTTTTTGTACAGGGCTGCATTGTCCAATATGGTAGCCTCTAACTACATATGGCCATTTAAATTTAAATTAATTAAAATTAAACAAAATGAAACATTTAGTTCCTTAGTCACATGAGCCACAATTCAGGTGCTCAATAGATACATGTAGCTCCACACAGGTGAGCAAAGAGAGCATTTCCATCACTGCAGAAAGTTCTTTAACACAGCATTCCTCTTGAGAGCTTGAACAATGATAAGTCTGGTAACTATAAAGCTGACGTATACACTACTTATGTAGAATACCAATTTTCTAAGAAGTAAAATACTGTGAAATACACCTTTGCACTATATCCATGTTAGACATCATTTATTCACTTGAAATCCTTTGGAAGATGTCTGAGATAACATGTGGTTCTAAGGCAGCTATTCTTTAACTTTCGTGTGCATATAAGTGAGCAATGGTCCTTGAAATACTGATTCTCAGGCCCTGCGGATACTCATTCAGCAGTTATGTGCCATAGTCAGGGTTCATGTATCTTAACAGCTGCCCTGAACAATTCTGATATAAGGAACACGTTTGCCCACGGCCACTGTTGTGGGCACCCAGGTTATAGTTACCTAACCTATATCCTCCAAGAGGGGAGGAAGTCCGGCTCTATTGTTCTCTGCTCCATTCTTAGCCCCCAGGATGGGAACTGGCACATGCCAGGTGCTTAGGGCATCTTGCTATGGTAGTTCATCACCTGCCTAAAGAGGTCTGAGAGGACAGTCCTCCCAGGCTCCTTCCAGCCACATGGACTCAGGTGGACACACCTATAAGGCACAAAGTGGAGATGATGAAGGGCAGGGAAATCATGTTACCATCCTTGGCATGGGGCACTGCTGGGGGTAGGCACAGAAGCCATGGAGGCAAGTGCAGAATGCCACTGGGAGAATGGCTGATCCACCCATCAGAAGAGCAGAGCGACAGTCCAAATGCTTTTATAACAGGTTTAACTGTTCATTCACACAATAGAAAATAAATATAGGTAGATTTTGACTGTCTTACCTTTCTTCTCTGTCCCCACAGAACTCCTGGAAGCCTGCACCTTCCACAGAGCTTAAAATCCAAGAGGGGGGTCCACCACCAGGTGAAGATGGGAGCTCATGTGACCCACAAACTTCCCCCGGTCTCACTGGCCTGAGTGGTTTGGCTGCCTTCATGTTCAATGTTGCCACCTGTGCAGGAAATAAAATAAAAATTATTATTGGTTTTATCTTTTAAAAACTTCATTCTTCCCAAAATGTTTGTCCTGGAAGCATTTCTTTTATACTATATGACTAAATACGTGTGAAACTGAGTCCTTCCTTCAGAGTTCAAGATTCATCTGACCTTTCCCATAGCTTTGGTTGTGGTGCCACAGCCACACCTTCTAGATACAGTCCAAACAGGAGTTCTTTCTAAAAAGCTCTGCATGGCCATTATAATAGAATCAAATGTATATGACTGTGTGTGTGTGTGTGTGTGTGTGTGTGTGTGTGTGTGTGTGTGTGGGGCTTAGGAAGGGGCAGAAAGGAGGATGATGGTGGCCCCATAAAATGAGGTTGGGAGCTTTTCCATCTCCTGAAGTTTTTTGGAATAGTTTGAGAAAAATAGGTGTTAATTCTTTGAACGTTTTGTAAAATTCACCTTTGATGCCCTCTGGTTCGGGACTTTTGTTTGTGGGTTTTTTGTTTTGTTTTGTTTTGTTTTTTGATTACTGATTCAGTTTCATTAGTAGTAATTGAACTCTTTCCACACCTCACTTATTATTATGACTGAACATATAGAAATAAGTCTTTTGCTCCACTTACTTCCCTGCAGCTGCAGTGGCTAAGGTCACTATCTTTCTGCCAACTAAGAAAACCAAGTTTAGTCCTTTCAGTCCTGAGTCTGTTTACTGCACTTGATACAGCTGACTACTCACTCTTCCTTGGAACTCTCCCCAGCTTCTGTCACAGCCTCTCTCTGCTTTGGTTCCTACCTCTCTCTCTGTGCATTTGTGGCCTCATCGTGGGCTCATCTTGTCAGCCTCATCGTGGGCTCTGTGCATTTGTGGCCTCATCGTGGGCTCATCTTGTCAGCCCTGAAATTGTAGGGAGATCTTCCTGGGGTTCTTCTGGCTTTCCAGTTCCTCCCTAAGCAATGTGAATGCCCCCTGCTCCCAGTGGTCCATACTCATACCTCCTCCTGTCTGTGTATCTGTACTGTAGGGTTCTCACAGCAACCAGAAGTCCAAAAAATCAAAAACAAGTGGTCATCCTGCCCCTCCCTCCCTCTCCTGTTTCCCTAACCCAACTGTTACCTCCTCATATTTCACATCAGCTAAAGTCATGGTCTTCTACCCTCCCAGGAACCGTAAGCGAGGGGTCAAATTTTAATTTACTGTTTTCCCCCACTTCATGTCCAATGTCAGCAAGTTCTGTTGATTTGCCTTCTAAACAACTCTCCAGTTTGCCCCTTTATTTCCTAACTCCTATCACAGCTTCAATTTACACTTGGGGCAGAGCTGCAGATAGGGGGGTTTCTGAACACAACAGTCCATGTCTCTTAACTTTCTGGCATCCAAGAAAATAGGACCCTGGGTCTACTTTGTGGTCAAGACCTGATGTTGACTTTCTTATACACAGCCCTACTTTACTTTGAGCCTATCAACACTCTGCCTTATTTAATATTCACCTAAACTCCACCTTCACTTCAAATCCTGTAACTCTTCCTTCGGGGACTGTCTTATTTCAATGAGTCAATAAACCTAATTTTGTCAACAAAGTACAGAGCACCTACCATGAGCCTGACACTGTTCTAGGGATCGCAAATACAGCAGTCCATGCTATAGTCCCTGGTATTTTTATTTATTCTTCTCTCTAGACTGCCTTCTTATATATGTACAGAAACGTTCTGAAATAATGTTCACCGGAAACTATAGGCATAAAAATTGAGGTAATTTGTAGCTTTCTTCTTTAATCTTTCATTATTGCTTGAGTTTTTAATATAAGTATGTCTCATTTTAATTCTTTTAAAAAAATCCTCTAAATATTTTTTCGAGACAGAGTTAAAGAGATAAACCAGAGTAGGGGAATCATGTGATTGGTGTTCCTGAGTCTCAGGTAGTTTCCATAGGGGAGGAGGGAAAAATGTTTCTAGTGAATGAGATGTTATAATTAATGAAAGAGAAAGAAAAATTGTCTCACTATGTTTGTTTCATTGTAACTCTCTATCTGCTGCTATTTGAATCAAGGAGCAAAATACTCTCAGCAAGCTGCAGTCTGTATCTGCATGTCCTTCCTCTGCATTCATCCCCACAGAGCTCCTGGAAGACTGTGGTGTCCATGAGGTGGAGCTGTGAGGACAGGAAGCAGCTGATCTCAGCCTTTCCTGCTATCATTCCTTAGAATGGCAGCACCACCTTGTGTCTTGAATGTGGAAGGTGTGCACATTTCTTCTGCTTTCATAATACCCAGGAAATGAATTGGAAAAAAATATCTATAAATAGATATATATAGAGAGACAGAGATAGACATAGATATGACTGTGTGTTGTTAAACCAAATTTCATCATGAAGGCATCACTTTTTCATTTGCTAAACTCTAGAAATTCTTACATGGTTAGGACAATTATGGTATGTGTTCTCCATGTCTGGCCCTCCTTTCTTCTCTGCACTTTTAGTTTCTAACAGAGGGAATCAATGGTTATTATAAAGGAGATGTGTGTGTGTGTGTGTGTGTGTGTGTGTGTGTTGGGTGGTGGATACAGAGCAAGGATCAGGACTGTAAGAAAGAAAAGAAATACAATGTGGTAAGATTACTGTTGTTTCTGAAAGTTTTAATTGACAATGCTAATTTAAAATAAAGTAGTTGGTTTACTCATTTCAACCTCACATTCTGAACATCTTTTCTTAATCTGGAGTCCCTATTGCCTACATTTAGCAACAAAAATGCCTGAGAAATGAATTGTACTATGTTAGAGCATACAGTTAAACATAAAGAAGTCGAAGTGCCTGGCATTAATAGATAAATTACTTAACCCTGCATCGTTTTGCCCTCTGTAAAACTGGGATCATGAGTCACCGTGAAAATTAAACAGATTAATAAATTTGGGACAATGTCTGACAGTAGCAGCACTCATGAATATTCGCAGTTATTCTCATTATCTATCCTCTTCACCTACTACTTTCTTGCTTCCATATACAAGTCCCACCTCCACCTTCACCCTACTGTTCCCCCTGAGCTCACTTTTCATTCAAGCCCTCATCACAGGACCCTATCTGTTTTAAGAGATGCTGCTGACCACTTCCAGAACATGTTTTACTCCTGTGTCACTGATTCTTCCTTTTTAGGCTTCTTTATGGGTTCCTTCCTCCTTCTCACTCTTCATACTTACCATGATCTTAGTGACCATTTGTTTACATATGACTCCCAAATGAAAATCTAGCACCTATTGCTGAAACTTTACATTTGTTTCTTGTATCATCTACATGATATAAGATTTTTGATTTCCCAAAGGCATCTGAAACTCAATATACATAAAAGAGAGGCAATTTTCATTCTGGCTACGTCCCCAGCTCCCAAATTTCTCCAACTGAGTCTTCCAATTCACTTTATGCACTCTGATATTCCCAGTAACCCACACCAATGGCTTCAGCATGTCTAATTAATTAATTACCACATTCTATGTACTTCCTTTCTAAACAGCTCTCAAATCTGTGCCATCCTTTCCACACCTACCTCTGTTCCTGGTTCAGACCCTGTGTATATTTTGTCAAAACACTGCAACAGCCCCCTCTCCCCAGCTAGTCACCCTGTCTACAGTCCTTTCTCCCTCAAATGATAGTTCTGCATTGACCTGCCAATCATCTATGTCACCCCCAAATGAAACTTTTTATTGCGTTCTGTATAAAGTCTAGGTTCCTCAGCATAGCACACGTCCCTTCAGGTCTGATTCCTGCCAACGTCTCCTGTTTCATCTCCTGCTACTTCTGTTGAAATGACACCTGCTTAATGACAGAGACTACAAACTGGCAGTCCCTAGGCTGGCCACTTCTGGCCTGATAAAGTGTTTTATTTGGGTCACGCATTTTTTAATGTTTTCCATTACTTGTTGGAATTTTAAAAGTGAAGAATTTCCCATAAAAAATCTTGCTTTTTGGCTTCTCTTAAAAAACGGGAAGAACTGACCATCTTGGTCCCACATACCTGCCTGGCAGAGTTCTGGCTGTTCCTCTGGGCAGGAATGACAGCTGCAATTTTCAAAGGCTCCATCCCTCCTATTGATTTTCCTGGCTGCTTCCTTTAATGGAGACCTTTTAGCAGCCCTGGATTTACAGTGTATGGACACTGAATTGCTCATTTTCTTTTGTACAGAGCACTCTTTCTCCTTTAATGCCGGCAGAAGCTGTCACCCTTCATGGCTCATTTCCGGTCACTTTCCCCCAGGAGCTTTTATAGCACCATACAGCCTCTGTCACATCCCATGCCACATTATATTCAGGTGAAATGTTTGTGTAATGCTTGAATTCCTCACAAGACTCACCTCATAAAGGGAGCGATGGAAATCCTCAGTGGAGATTTCTTGAGCCACTAATTTTATTCATCCACCATTCTGTCAAAAACCATGAAGAGGGCGGCGACATTTGACTCATAGCTTAAACTTTAAGACTTAAAGGATACGTGTGTCACTAGTGAAATCAGTACGAGCGGTGTCCAAGAAAACTACATCTCCCGTCAGGACCTTCCGAATCACGGCCCTCGAACAAAAAAATCCAACTTAGAAACTACCACTCCCGTGATGCTCCGCTTCAGACGTCTGCGTAGAGCTCAGGGACACGTTGCGCTTTGCGGCGCCGGAGACCACGCATCTCAGCATGGCTTCCGTGGACTCTCGGCGGACGGGGAATGATGGCGGTGTCGGGGGTGCCTTCCAGCCCTACTTAGACTCCTTGCGGCAGGAGTTGCAGCAGAGAGATCAGACGCTGCTGTCTGTCGTGGTGGCGTTTCTCGTGGTGCTGCTGACGCTAGGTAAGGAGGCGGCGGGTGGTTATGGCGGATGCAGGGCGGACGAGTCCGTGCTTGGACTGGAAGGATGCGGGGCGGAGAAGGCACCTGGGAGGGCGTCTAGAGAGGGAGACTCACCCCTTATGTCACCCTACCCTCTACTTGAAGCAACAGGATCCCGTGCAACCCCAAGAGTGATGTCTCGGTCTTTGGGGCACGGGTTATTTTTTCTTCATCCGCCCCTGTTTTGCCTGTGCTCATTGTTCCTTCCCTTCCGTTGATTTTAATACCAAGACTCACAAGGTCTCTACTTCAGGTTTGAGCGTCTTGCGTATGGGAGCTGGGATAGAAAGTTAATAAAACAGAATTGCACTTGAGGAGTCCACAGTGAGGGTAGGGGGTGCAGACAGAAAAGTCGACAATTGGTAGAGGCTGCCACTCAGCGGGGTCCCTAACAACAATAACGATTATAATGGTGATAATAACAATAAAAAGTAGTTCCAGATGATCGAGGTGTTCTGTGGTAGACTTCTGTTAATTTCTCCACCCAACTATAACACGCATATTATTGATAATCAAGGTATAATTTGGGATATTTTTCTCTATTCCACAGTGTTCTGGAAGTTCATCCGGAGCAGAAGGAGCAGTCAAAGAGCTGTTCTTCTTGTTGGCCTTTGTGACTCCGGGAAAACATTGCTCTTTGTCAGAGTAAATGCTTTGGTTTACATCTCTCTTAAACTTGATAGAAAATTTTAGGACATCTCATTATTCCTGTATGATTTATTTTGGAAAAGAAGCTGATGCTGACATATTGGAGAGTTAATTTTTGACTCAGTGGGGGAGAGAGGGGCAAAAAGATTCTTGAAAACTCATAAACTGGAATTTTTTGGCCATTTCTGTTTTCTTGCACTTGCCAGATCCTGATATTTAGTCCTTATCCCATTTAAAGGTTTTTTTTTGTAACTCTCTTAATGCCTAGAATAGCTGAAGAAGTAGAAGACAATGATCTGTATATAGTGTATAATTTCTTGTATAATCTACTCTCTTGAGATCTTGTCAAAGAAATTTTTTAAAAAGGTGATTCTTTGACATATTGGGCTACTTAGGCTTCTTTTCACTAATATTTATTTTTAATCTACTTAGTATTTTTAACTGCTTTTTTGTTTGTTTTTTTGCTTTGGAGAGTAGCAGAGGTCTTTATTATCTTCCTCTTCAGTATATAAATTACTTCCCTTCTAAAGAAATATAATCTTTAATCATTTTTAATCATTAAAAATGTTTATTGAATGTTGGTAAATCTGGCCACTAACCATTTGAAACTATTATTTGAAAATAATAGTTTAAAACTAATTGTGAATTTTCCCCCTTCTCTTGGGAATCAGGATGAAGTTTGCAATTAGATTTTTCTAAAAGTAAAGGGAAAAAAATCAGTATGGTTCTCTTTAGCTATTGTAAGCAACATTCATTCATTTGACCAGACATCTAAGAGTTAGGACAGAATTACTCTTCAGGTTTGCTATTTAGATGTTTAGTCTGATCACCCCTGTATTCTTTTTTTTATAGTTGTTAACAGGCCTTTACAGAGACACTCAGACTTCCATCACTGACAGCTCTGCTGCTTACAGAGTCAACAATACCAGGGTAAGGGGTTCCTAAAACCTTGGGAGTCTGACAGCTTTCCTTTACTTTGGTGTGTCAGGAAGGGACATTTCTAGGATAAATTATACTGAGGGTGTAGCTTATTTTTACGGGTACATATAGCCCATGTGACAAATTTTGCTCTTGACCATCCAAGCAGCGGATTTAATCATGGCCTCTGCCTTGTCACCTCCTGTGCACTGATGTTACATCACACTGTATTAGTTTACAATTTTACCATAAGTTCTTAAGGATGAGCATTAAGTCCTTTTCTTTTCTATTTATGTTTTGATATATAATAAATGTATATGGGACAAAAATTTAAAAGAATATTTGTTGAAAAGTATTTTGCCTTTCCTGTCCTTACTACCCAGTCTTCTCCTAAGCGGTAATAACTTTCCGTTTTCCTGGGTACCCTTCCACAGTCTATGTGTATATGAACATATCTGTATATCCTTTAGATTTTTCTTTTTAATATTCTGTTCAGCCCATTATTTTATTTATTTATAATTTACTTCTTTAATTTAACAATATGACTGATAATTTGATTTTTGTTTTTTCTCCCTCATTTGGACCTGGTTGATTTTATGAGCTGCATAGAATTCTGTCATGTGGCTGTACCATACAATTAAGTTCTTATTTAATAAGAGCCCTGTTAATAGACATTTAGTTTGTTGTTGTAATCTTTTGCTTTTACAAATAGTCTTGTAGTGGATATCTTAAAGAGTATACATGAGTATATTTCAAAAAATACCAATAAAGAATCATGAGAAGGACTTTTTATGTACTTGTGTAGCTCCAGAAGGTCATTAGTGACCACCAAGCCAATTATAATGCTTAATAAGTATTTAATGAGTGAGTGGAGGAAGTCTGGTGGGTGGCTGATTAGAGAGGTAGATGTAGATGTAGATATAGATGAATTTGAATGGTGATATTAAAGACCTTGTCCCCTTTTCCTTGTGTTATCCCTATTTTTCTGGTGCCTCCAGAATTAAACGTAAGCAAAGAGAAAGAGATCCATTTAAATGTCTTAGAGATATATTTGCTTTTTTCATTAATGGCACTCTTTCTGGTTCAGTCCTTTTAAAACTCCCAAGGATTCAGGTTTTGAAATTTTAGATTTGGGAGATCGTCAATTCTTGAGGCAGTTGTATCACATGTTTTAAGTGAGGTGTTCCAGGGTATGACTTAGACCTGTACTTTCCAATAGAGTTGCTTCTGGCCACTTGTGACTACTGAGCACCTGAAATGTGACCAGTCCAAATTGAGGGTGCTATTGAGACTTGCATATTTCCACTGAGTATGTTGAACATTCCTCCCTTCTTTATTTACTCCTCTCATCCCCCTTATGTTTTAGATCTAGTCTCTCTCTCCCAAGATAATAATGGATATAGTAATGTATCTTCTGGATTGTTTTTGTAGTGTGTAGTGCAGTGCTGATTATATTTGGTAGTGAGTCTCAACTGGAGGTCCCTAGATTCTTACCAGTATTTAAAAAAAAAGGCCAATACACATCGTATATTTACCCATAAAAGACTGCACAGACTAAGTGACAGGAAACCATGAATTCAGGTGTAATTATATAAGATCTGTGCATAATGTTGACT